GTGCCACATATGAATGTGTATTGTTGTGGAGAAGAAGAACACCTTTCCGATTGACGAATGAAGGGCTTGATTTAAATGTTCCAGTTGTTGACTATAGATCTCTGCATTGACAGTTTCCTGTGGATTGAGGAGTTCGAAATGAATTACTCCTTTGTTGTCCAACCAAATACAAAGCATCACTTTCTGAGGATGGAGTCCAGGTTTGGGGTTGGAAGTGGTTTTTTTTTCTAGGTCTGAGCCATTGTTCTTGGCATTTAATATTTGTAAAGAGAATCCATTTTTCATCACCAGTAACAATTCTGTCCAAAAATGGTTCATGCATTACACCCCAGAAGAGACGAAGCAACGTTCATACGGTTGGAAACGGTGATCATCGGAGAGTTCATGAGGCACCCAAACACCTTCTTTATGGAGTTTTCCCATATTCCTTAGATGTTTAGTCTCAAGAGAGACTTGCAATTTCAGGGCCATTTCATGAGTGTGTTCCTTGGATTAGACTCAACAAGTGTCTTCAGAAGATCAATATCAATTCCAACATGTCGGTTCCTGCCATCACAGTTTTTAAGGCTAAAGTCACCTGAACAAAATTTGCTGAACCATCATTGACACTTATGAACATTCAAAATATTTCCATAAATTTCTTTGATATTCTTTGTGGTTATAGAGGTGTTGTTTCCTTTTTTGTATTCAAATAGCATTACATGCCGAATGTGTGTGCCATCACTATAAAGGATTAGAGTATACTAAACTTTACACATTATATAGGCTACACTAACGTGATGTTTAGGCAGTTCATTTAACTATTATACTTGATGTACGTTTTTTGGGGTGGTGGTTAATGAAAGTGTTTCTAAACGTGACATTAATTTCCTGACGACCTAATAAATCATTTCTATACTGTTTTTCTGACAATTTTAAAGACTGAAATAATAAAAGTGTAAAATAAAAATATTTACTAAAAGACTAGAGGTGAAAAACTAAGAAAAGGGTAAAATTCACAACTTGGGCATTTTATCTGTTTATTGTCCATTAATTACATTGTCATGTACACTTCTAAATCAAATATAATTATCATGTGTGATTCACTTTTTAAACATTTCTCATTTCAGGTATTTAATGAAATATTTAAATTTTCAAAAGTTGATGACAAATCAAGAAACCTAAATATGTCCAAGTTATTAAATCAAAATAAATAAAGAAACTTTTAATCTTTTTTTTTATTTTTTATAAAATAACTAATTTTAAACACTTTAAAATAAGCAGTCAGGGCCTAAAAATATTATTTACAGAAACAATTGGTTATTTAACAAAGTTCTCAAATTGTTGAATGAAAGTTTTATATAGATTCTGTCTATAAATATTGAAGAAATAAGATATTTAGAAAAATACTACCACATTGAAGATAACAGCTTAACTAATCTGAAGCAGCTGTACACAAATAGAACAGAATGGGACACAAATAAAAATAAAAAAGCAAATATGTATAATTCATGATTATTTAATGTTATAAATTTCATCTATATTTTATAAGTTATTGTGAATGGAGAAACAGCATTGAAAAGTACAAAAGAAACATTCAGAATCTCACAAACCAAGATTTGGATTTTCCTGATGATGGAAATATATGCAGCATTTGACCAAGTGACATCAGGAACTCTTGACTCAGATAACATAAAATATTATAATAAACACAAATCAATTTATCACAAGTTTAAGAAAGTGACAATTTTGAAAGAAGATATCTCACAGAAGTAGCAAATGATAATAAGCATGGTACACAGATGAAGTGCCAACCACAAAATGATGGATGAATTGAATAGGACATGGGGTTAGGTTAACTGTAAAAAAATGGAAGAGCATTCTTCTTTAAGTCAATAAACTGAAGGAAACAATATCCATAAAAGAACAACTACAAATACAGATAAGAACTGCATTTGAAAGGATGCTTTCAACAAGGAACTGAATCTAAAAGCTCTTTAGGGCCTTTACCCACCAACTTAAAATTCTAACCCAAAAGCAAATGTCAGATGCCACAACTGATATGAGTGAAACAACTTTGTAATAACATAATTTGATAAATATATTGCACAGTAAAAGTAACTTGAACAAATGTATTACATCTTACAAAAATGGTAGAAAGCTATAAAACTTGTTTGTACAAGCTAACATCTGTGAACTTTAACATAATCATGTTTGTTATCTTTATATTTATAAATGAACTTTCATCAATGGACTAAACTTTAGTTCCCATACTAAACAATCATTTATTACATTTCAAACTGTTTAATGTACTGAATCATTTGCTTAGATTGCAACCAACTTTACATTGGTAAACAGAGGTAATGGTTGCTGACTATACTCATGAACAGACAGTAACAAACTTTATATTGGTAAACAGAGGTAATGGTTGCTGACTATACTCATGAACAGACAGTAACAAACTTTATATTGGTAAACATAGGTAATGGTTGCTGACTATACTCATGAACAGACAGTAACAAACTTTATATTGGTAAACAGAGGTAATGGTTGCTGACTATACTCATGAACAGACAGTAACAAACTTTATATTGGTAAACAGAGGTAATGGTTGCTGACTATACTCATGAACAGACAGTAACAAACTTTATATTGATAAACAGAGGAGATGCTTGCTGAACATAACCATGAATTACAACACAGTAAATATTGTAATAACTCAGAAAAAGATTTACATCTTCATAAAAATTTAAGATTTCAGAGCTGAGTTACATTTCTAAAACTTAACTAATACACCATCTTTAAAAACAATAAGGTTTAAAAGCTTCTTTTCCATGATCTTGCTTTTAATTCTATACAGTTTGCATTGTTTTTAAATTGTTTATTATTTCTTTATTTAAGATTGCTTTTATTCAAACAATTCCCAGATTTCTGTCTCTCTTTTGAATAAGTTTATTCTTTCATACCTCTTTCACTGGAAGTTTTGCATTGTTATGTGGGCAACAAAGATAAACATATTATTCTTTCAAACACTCTTCAGTAAGATATTCTAGTTGGATTGTTGTCAGTGAACTTAAAAAACACCTAAATGATATTCCTACAAAAGTAGTGTTGTCATTTTGCTACATTGCTTCTTTATTTCAAATTATCTGAACATGCTTCTTAAAAGTTCTTGAATTTTAATATACCACTATCAGGTTAAATATGTGAAGAGAATGTTTACCACAGCTTGTGTCATATCAATGTCCTGCATGTTATAAATCTGTGATAAATCTTAATACAGCACACTCCATCACTTATCTGTTGTAATAATTTACTAACAATGAGAGATCCTAATATACTGGACTTTCAAACACGTAATACTGGTAACATAAAACTAGCCTCTCTTGTAGAGGGCCAAGCAATGAATTTTGAAGATTGATATGAAAGACAGCACAATGATAGTATGCCATGATGGTTCTTCAATGGTCAAGATTGAATAAGAGAAATAGTAAAATACATGGGGGACTGAACTGAAAGAGTTAACCAGGTTTGATCTAACCAATAAAAATTAACCAACTGATTGTAATGAGAAAAACCACACATCAATCCCAGAACTCATATAAAAAACCAAGATAAGTATATTGAAGAAGGAAGAGTCATCCCTCATTCAAAGCTAATTTTGAGAGAAAACTGACCTGAGACCAAAGACCTTGAGAGGAAATCATAAAGCTAATTAGTTAATTAAAGAGACTTACCAACCATTAGTTTCACTGCAGTAGGAATATAAAAGATGGATGTCCTTCATCATGAAAGTTTAAGTAAAAATCATAAAGAAAACAAGAGTATCTTCCTAACATTTAATATTCAGGATGTCAACGGACCTGATTTTATTATTATTTTAAATATTACCTTCTGAGTAACATGTAATGTCTAAAACAGAAAACAGTAGAAAAGTTGTTAACTAAGAAACTGAAATACTGATACTCTCAATTTTCTTTGTTTAGTTCTTTCAACTATAACTTATTGCATGAAAAAAGAAATTATAAGTGTTTCAAAATGTGATGATTTTCACACTTCAAGTCAAAACTAAAATTTTTTAATATCACTAGTTGAAAATTTTCATTGCCTCACCTGTTTATAGAAAGAGAACAACTGTTTGTGATCAAACTGTATTTGTATCTTGTCTTCAGTTTCGGGAGTTAGTCCCAACTCAATCAAGCCCAAAAGTCTCTTTTGTTTTATTAAATTGGACTGAGCTAATTCCATATGCAATTCCCAGGACACACTCGATAACTACACAGGAGAAATAATAAGTTTAAAAACTTCAATAAATTTCCTTTACATCATAACTAAAAACACCATATTTACAAAACTACCTGTCATTTTAAACACTTACAACTGTCATTTTTAAGACCCTTTCTAACTAAAAGCATGATTATACTACAAGGACAATATTTCAGTATAATGTCAAACCAAGTATGAAAGTATATGTACATATAATTATGGAAGAGGTTGTCACATTGTGCCATAATTGAAGGCCTTTGTTATTTAGCAATATATATAAATCTTTGTAAAATCAATGTTTTCTGTGGTTGTAATTGGTAACTAAAATACTAACATGATCTACAGGTTCAATCCAAACAAGATTTAAATTCTTACAAGCTTTAACTGGCTTCTTGTGTTCATCGATACAACTTTTAACTGTCTACCTTCTCACTTTCATCATGATTTCATGAGTAATTTGGTATAAAACCCAGATTTCTCAGATGGTTGTTTTTATCTTTAGAGCAGACCAACATATATGTGAAGAAACAATGTGTAATATGATATCTCAATACCAGGAAAACTAACAATTATTTTTAATTTCTCTTTAGCTTTCTGAAGATCCACTTTCAGGCAGCTTTGGGCAACAAACAAGTTCACAAACACACGGTATGAATTAATACACAAGAAAAGAATATTTTCTACCATGGTAATAGATTACATAATATAAACTCACACAATAAATACTTCATTATGCAATAGAAGATTTTAAAACTTCAAATTATGGAAAGAAAATGCAAATGAAGAATGGAATTGACCAGAGAGAAAAATAAGCATTATATTTATATATCATATTATTTTTAATCTGATCAAAATTACACTTAAAAACACTTATTGTTTACTACAAGAATGCTATTAGTTTCTGGAAAAATAACAGTGTAATTTTCATTTATCTTAACAGGAATTGTGATATTAAGACAATTTACAATGGAATGGTTAGCTTTTCTGTATGATTATGATGTAAAAATTCTAATTTACATTCATGGACAACAGATGAGCAAATGTTGCAAGAATTATACTGTAATTACATATTAAATGTACTATGAAATCAGTAAATCTAAAGGTGAGAACAACAGATAATCTGTTTAGTAAAAAACTGAAATGTACAAGATGGAAATAATTAGGCTAAGTAATATAAAAATGAAAATGTTTACGTGCAAGAAAAAATAAATGTCTAATTAATGAGCATTAACTAATAAAACATAAGGTTTGATAAAACAAGCACTTTTTTCCACTGTTAAAACTTGAAGTTAATTATATAGTCATTGTCAGAGAAAAGTTCTTTACATAAAAGTTACATTCTCTTTACTTGACAACTCTCGTATTGCTAACAATAAACACAACTATAAACACGTATGAAACATGAAAATACAATTTCCTGAAATAATGAACAATAATTTGTTCCCTCTAATTAATTTTTTTCATTAACTATAATGAAAACACTGATCTACATTATAACATCTATTTACCAATTACAAAAGTATCCACTTACACATGGGTCTGAATTCAAGTTTACTTTTAAGAATATTGTCCAATGTAGAATACTTTTCTTTTTAAAGGACTGTGAGAGATGAAGAACTGTTATTACATTAAGAAATTTAACTTTTCAGGGAAAAAAATAAGTTGGAGGTGCCTGTTTTACAGGAGAGAGAGGTCAGATCAGAGCAAAAAATCCTAATACTGCATCTGCTGGCTTGAGAATATATAAAACCTATTGTATATCAGGACAAACACTTTTTCAAAAATATTTTAACTCTTTCATTCCCAAATGGGTGCAGTTCACCTTCAGGGCAAAACACCACCATTGAATTTTAAAAGTTTGAGAAAAAAAAAAGAGACTTGTAGGTGTTTTCCACACATTAAAAAGAAACAAACAAAAAACTTTCAGAGGTGAAACTTATTCAATAAAAACAGTTTTATTTATTCAATTTTATACATCAAAATAAAAAAAAGATCACAAGTTTTGATTTTCCAATTAAATCATTATTGTTTGTGAATTTCCTGAATTTTTTCTAAGCATGATATGGCACCCCCCCAGGAAGAGAGTTGTAATAGTTTGAAACAAAACACTACTAATTATGCTAATTAGTCCAGAAGCTGTAGGTACTGATATAAGCACACCACAGAAGCTCTTTTTTACATAGTTTGCAATTATAAAAGCCATTAAACTAACATTTCAACAGAAATTTGTCTACAGATTGTACAAAATTGATAGAAGCTAAGCTTGTTGATATGCTTCTAGAAGATAGTGTTTTGAACAACTTCTGCTACAAATTCAGCCTTACTTTTTAAAATCTTGATTTATCCTTCGCTTCAGTTATGATGTTGAAGTTTAATAGGAAAGAATAACTTTTGTGCAACTTGATAAAAATAGGCTTAGTTAAATCATCTTGCATTTGAACATACCAAATTCGTTTTGCTGACAAGGTTGTTGTGTTTAGTCTTGTTTGCATTTGGCCATATTGGCCTAAGTTACTGCTTGAATAGGCAAAGAAAACACCAAAAAGAAATGGAAAAACACATCACATACATAAAAAATGTGTTTACAACTTTTTATTTATGCGAAGTGAAACCTTCTGATTAACATTATTAAAAACTCTACTTGATCATAATTGTGGTTTGGTAAAAGTTATTTTTATTCTACATCATTGATTGTAAACACAGTGAAATGGCTTGCATTATTTTTCGAGGCAAACAAAAATAAAAAGTTGTAGATTTATAAAGTAAAAACTATATGAAAGTTTAAAAAAAATTTAGGGTGATATAAAAAAATCAATCAAGGTAAGCATTTGTATTATTTCCTAAAAAATATTATATATAAAAATAAGATATATGCAGAAGTTAGATTAATTCTGAAGTTTCAACTATTTCATACTGTAGTTTTTTGAAATGCAATGAAAGAAACCAAATAACAGGTGTATAAAATTGACATTTGTGGGTATCATACAGCTAAAGATCAACAGCTGGACTAAGATAAATAACCAATACAAAGTGTGACCTTACTTTTACATGGACTGAGACTATTAAGAATACTGATATAGTAAACTGGCTGGATTTTGAATACCACATGATGAACCACATAAGGTAAAATATTTTGTTCAATTAATATATATATATATATTTCTTGGTAGTAGCTTCACTTTATTTAGTTTCAAACATTAGGTGTAATAATATATATATAAAACAGTATTGTTATTTAGTCTTGCAGTTATCAAGGTGAATCACACTCACCAAGTTTATCATTTATAAACATTGTTTTTGGTAAAACCCAGATAAACTGAGTAACAAATGTGGAGATGTTAAGTCAAAAGGCAAACTTTTCACTCCCAATTAAACTCATTTCTTGGATTCCCTGGTGTTTTGATTTACAGTGTTATAGTATGTAACAGAAACCTTAGAATGAGAAGGTAAATTAACAGAAAACAGAATAACTTTCAGACATGTACGTAAAAGTGTGCTTATGTATATGCATATAATACATGCAGGTCTGTACTATTGAAAAACTTCACATAAAGTTATGAACTACTATCAGGAGTTAAGCATTAGGCACAAACTTAAAACAGGATCTGAAGAATATTGACATACATATGTATATTTACTATAGTTTGCTAAACATCATCTATAGCAACATTCAAGTAGCATACATATATATATTATATTGTAGAAATAGGTGAATAATCTATAACACCCCATTCCACAAAACAACTAGATTTGAGAACTAAAGCATTTAAGTGTCCAACAGATCAATTATAAATTCAACAGGGAGGATTAATAAGAAATGTTTTATAGAGCATAGGTAAACACAGACTAGTTAAACAAAGAATGCCACAGTGGTGTAAACATAACAAGAAAATGATCTCTACTGATTTGCAAAATAAATGGTTACAGTGCTCCTATCACTACATTAACATTATCACAACAGGCTTGGTCAAACTGGCCAAATTTGCTACCCCAAATTCACCTTTATAGTTTCCATACCATAACTTCTAATGTTTTATGTATCTTCATGAAATTTCACAAGCTTTCAGTAAGAATTAAGCCTTTTGTAAAGAAAAATTCAGAAGATATGAAGTACTTTCACTAAAAATGTCTCTGTGAATATAGGGAGTTAAAGTGTTGACTGCTCTGAGTGCAAAGTGATTTTCATGTTAAGCTTAAAAATACTTTTCTTCATCTGAAAATTATCAATTTTCATTGCTTAATCTCTAAAACCTCCTAAATAAATTTCAAAAGGTTTTTAGTAAAACTTTATATCTATCAGTTATTTTCTCTACCCTAACTCTATACGAGGTCGGTCAAATTGACCGACCTTACAATCACCATAAAAAGATATAAAATTAATCTAAATTACCATTTTTTTTTCTTTCTAGAATAATTCAAATTGTAACATGAAACTACATTTGTTTATCGTAACTAGTATAAAACTCGTAACAGTATACATCTGTTTCTAATTTAATTTTTTTTGTCCTTTGAACTGTGTCTAACTAATAATTGTGATTAGTTCTAGTAATAAAAGGAAAGGAAAGGAAATTACAAAATATAGTAATGGTGAAAAACTTGCCGAATTGAAATAACTTTATTGGTTTTGTTTGTTTGTTTGTTTTTTTGGAATTTCGCGCAAAGCTACACGAGGGCTATCTGCGCTAGCCATCCCTAATTTAGCAGTGTAAGACTAGAGGGAAGGCAGCTAGTCATCACTACCCACCGCCAACTCTCGGGCTACTCTTTTACCAACGAATAGTGGGATTGACCGTCACATTATAATGCCCCCACGGCTGAAAGGGCGAGCACGTTTGGTGGGATGCGGATGATTTTATTGGTAAACATGAAAACAACATTTCGAGCAACAGCCCTATATAAGATTTCCAGTGAGAATAAAACAGTTTAATTCTCACTGGAAACCCAATGAAGGGTTATTGCCTGAAACAGTTTTCCTGTTTACCAATAAAATTATTTTAACTTGGTGAGTT